ATATATCCCTTAAACTCATCCCCCTCATCTAAGTGCAATTTGGCCTCCTGGGACCAGCATCTCCCCCATCCCCTGCCCAGCCACTCCTGGGACCCTGGCAGTCACCATTCTGCTCTCTGTTTCTATGAGTTCAACTTTTATAGATTCCACATGTAGGTGAGATCATGTGATAGGTGCCCTGTGCCTGGCTTATTTCCCCCAGTAAAATGTCCTTTGACCTCATTCAATGTCACAAAGGACAGGACTTCCTAATTTTATTTAAAGACAAAATAGTGTCCCCTTATATTTCTAACCACATTTTCTGTATCAACTCAGCCACTGATAGACACAATTTTTCCCATTTCTTGGTTTTGAGAATATTGCTGCAATGAACATGGGGTGCAGATGTCTATTAACACACTGATGCCATTTCCTTTGGATATATACCAAGTAGTGGGATGGCTGGACCATAGGGTATTTTTTTTTTTTTTTTTTTTTTGGTGCTGGGGATTGAACCCAGGGCCTTTTCCATGCAAGGCAAGCACTCTAACAACTGAGCTCTATTTTTAATTTTAAAAGAAACTTCCCATACTGAATTCCATAATGACTGTACTAGCTTACATTCCCCAAAACATTGTACAATAATTCTAGTTTCTCCACATCCAGACCAGTACTTGATATCTTTTGTCTTTCTTTGTTTTTCTTTTATTTATACTGGGGGTTGAACCCAGGGGTACTTTAGCCCTGATAGCCATCCGGAGACCTTTTTACTTTTTATTTTGAGATCAGGTCTCACTAAGTTGCTGAGGTTTACCTTGAATTTATAATCCTCCCACCTCATCCTCCTGAGTTACTGGGATGAAGGCATGTGCCACTGGTTCTTTTGTCTTTTTGATAATAGCCATTCTAATAGGTGTGAGAGGGTATCTCATTATGATTTTAATGTGCATTTCTCTAATGATTAGTAATGTTGAACATTTTTTTCAGATTTATCTTGGTCAGTTGTGTTTCTACTGAGAATGAAGTGATGTTTGGGTCACAGTCTACCACCAAATTTTATGTCAATTTCTGTTGTAGCACAAGAAGAAGGGATGACATGCATTGGTCATGGAAAAAGGTCAGGAGTGGTACAAGAATCATAACAACGGGTCTATTGAGCTTGGAGCAGACCATGCTAGCCTTAGGTTTTCTTTTTTGTTTTGTTTTTTAAATTAGGTATATATGACAGCACAATGCATTTTAATTCATTGTACACAACTGTAGCACAACTTTACATTTCTATGGTTGTATCCAATGTAGCGTCACACCATATGTGCATTCATACATGTACCTAGGGTAATGATGTCCATCTCATTCCACCATCTTTCCTATCCCCATGCCCCTTCCTCACCTCTGCCTCCCCTTTGCCCCATCAGAGTTCCTCCATTTTTCCTTATCAGAGAGAACATTCAGCCTTTGGTTTTTTGGGATTGGCTTACTTCACTTAGCATGGTATTCTCTAACTCCATTTATTTACCTGCACATGTCATAATTTTATTCTCTTTTAATGCTTAGTAATATTACATTAGGTATACATACCACAGTTTCTCTATCCATTCATCTATTGACGGGCATCCAGGCTGTTTCCACAGTTTAGCTATTGTGAATTGAACTGCTATAAACATTGATGTGGTTGTGTCTCTGTAATATGCTGATTTTAAGTCCTTTGGGTATATACCTAGGTAGGAGAGGGATAGCTGGGTCAAATGGTGGTTCTATTCCAAGTTTTCTAAGGAATCTCCATACTGCTTTCCAGATTGGTTTCACCAACTTGCAGTCCTACCAGCAGTGTATGAGCGTACCTTTTCCCCCACATCCTCACCAACATTTATTTTGGTCTGTTTTCTTGATAACTGCCATTCTGACTAGTGTGAGATGGAATCTTAGAGTAGTTTTAATTTGTGTTTATCTAATTACTAGAGCTGTTGACCTTTTTTTTATATATTTGTTGACCGAATGTATATAAATCAAATGCATTTATATACCTCAGTGATAAATCCTCTGAAAAAGAAATTAGGGAAACTACCCCATTCACAATAGCCTCAAAAAATAAAATACTTGGGAATCAATTTAACTAAAGAGATGAAAGACCTCTACAACACAAACTATGGAATACTAAAAAAGAAACTGAATAAGACTTTAGAAGATGGAAAGATCTCCCATGCTCTTGGATAGGCAAAATTATTAATGTCAAAATGGCCATACTACCCAAAGTGCTATACAGATTCAATGTGATTCCAATTAAAATCTCATCATCATTCTTATAGTAATAAAAAGCAATCTTGAAATTCATTTGGAAAAATAAGAGACCCAGAATAGCCATAGCAATCCTTAGCAAGAAGAGTGAAACAGGAGGAATCACAGTACCAGATATTAAACTATACTGCAAAGCTATAGTAACAAAAAATGGCATGGTATTGGCACCAAAATAGACATGTAGACCAATGGTACAGAATAAAAAACACAGAAACAAACCCATATAAATACAGTTATCCTCATACTAGACAAAGGCCCAAAAAACATACATTGGAGAAAAGATAGCCTCTTCAACAAATGGTGCTGGGAGAACTGGAAATCCATATGCAACAAAATGAAAATAAAGCCCTCTCTCTCACCATGCACAAAATCAAAGTGCGTCAAGGACTTGGGAATTAGACCAGAAACCCTGCACCTAATAGAGGAAAATGTAGGCCCCAATCTCCATCATGTTGGATTAGGCCCTGACTTTCTTAAAAAGACTCCTAAAGTATAAGAAATAAAATCAAGAATTAATAAACGGAATGGACTTAAACTAAAAACTTCTTATCAGCAAAAGAAACAATCAATGAGGTGAAGAGAAAGCCTACATATTGGGAGCAAATTTTTGCCACACACACATCAGATATAGCACTAATCTCCAGGATATATAAAGAACTCAAAGAACTTAACACCAAAACCACAAACAGCCTGAGGTTTTGCTAGACCAAATCCTTCCTACCACCACACTTTTTTTTTTTAATTTTGTCCTCCTGCTACAGAAATCCTTCCTTGAAAGTGGGAGTCCATTCCATATGGTTAGCCCCTTCCTTCCTCCTATAAGGCACGTGGCAACTCTGGACTCTGGCACAGCCAGAGTACCTTCCCTGCCATTCTTATAATAGCATAATTCTAAATATTACAAATATTAATAATGTTTATAAGTTGACACATGATCCAAGCAGAGCCAAACCGTCTTCACCAAATCTTCTCATTGAGCTTATTCAGATATCAGCCTAGAGCTCCTGTTAGCCCCTTTGCCATCACACAGGGAAAGCTACTGGAGGATAAAATCACAGAAGGGGAAAGCAGATGAGGAGGAGATGAGGATAAACAAATGGGTTGTTGATGGTGTCCTTTGGACCCTTGAATCCAATCGAGTCTTCAACCAGTTGCACCCTTCCAGACTTTCTAGTTATAGGAATCAGCTAGTTATCAACTCACGAGTTATGTGAATTGATAGACCCCTTCCTCATTGGCTACGCTAGTTTGATTTTTCGATGACTTGCAATTGCAAGGGTCCTGCCACCAAGTGGGTGGGCTGTGGGGAAGGATGGTGGGGCTGGCCTCTGGGCAAGCTCATGGCCAGCGCAGGGCCCAGCATGCCCCTGGTGTACTGCTGAGTGGACTTGAAGAACCACCTACACGGAGAAGCTGGTTGGTAATCACAGAGGCTGGTCTGACCCTTTATCCATGGGTGGGAAGCAGGGCCTGCCTGGACGACCTGGCTGCATCCCCTCTCTGCCTGCTGTCGGTTGTGAAGCATTTCTTTTTAGCTTGGAGAGCCAGGGCACCACTTCTGGAAAAGCAGCTACTTCCCCATTCTTCCCAGTCCCTGAGCCTGGGAGAGGTGGACCCCCAACTCCAGCACCCGCCAGCCCCTTGCAGAGTTCCCTAATGTCCAGAAACAATTTTCAATAATTAACTGAGAGGACACAAAAGAAATCACTTCTGGAAAAGCAGCTACTTCCCCATTCTTCCCAGTCCCTGAGCCTGGGAGAGGTGGACCCCCAACTCCAGCACCCGCCAGCCCCTTGCAGAGTTCCCTAATGTCCAGAAACAATTTTCAATAATTAACTGAGAGGGCACAAAAGAAATTGAAGGACATCAAGTGACAGGGCCTTAGAAAGCATCCATCTGGGGAAGTGTCCCCGCTCCAGTTGCCATAACAAAACGCGGTGGCGTTTATTAAACCACAGAAGCTTAACAAATAATCAGACAGGGCTGAACAAATGAGGGGATTTTCTTTTCTCACAGTTCTGAAGGGTGGAAATCTGAGGTCAAGGGACCTGAGGCCTCTCCTCGGCTTTAGATGGGCTGCCTTCTCCCTAGGTTGTGAGGACACTGGGCCCATATGTCCATGTTTCCTCTTCTTATCAGGGCCCTTCACATTGGATTAGGGCCCATCCTATCAGCCTCTTTTTAACCTCTTTAGAGGCCCTTGATTAGGATGCTTCTGACTGATTAGAACAAATTTTTTAAAAAGAAGAAGAAAAAAAAGATGCTTCTGGAACACAACTCAAGGTGGCAACAGGTGAGTCTGTGGGCTCAGGCAGACAAAAGGCCACAGATGGAATCTGTTTGTAGCTGAGAGCTGAGCACAGATCTTTGTAGATGCAGAACTGGGCCCAGGTGCATTGAGAGCAGGTGGCTGAAAGGACAAGAGTGAGGCAGCGTGTGCCCCACTGGCTTGACAGACTGTTCGTGCCAAATAACAGGATTTAGTTACCTTAGTCTAGGACAGAGAGAGTTTGCAGAGAAACTTTCCTTCCTTTCAACCAGAAGGCACGCAAGCTCAAGGACAACAGCTGAAATCTCACTGGTGCATATTTTGTGCCAGACTCTGCATTAAGCACTTCCTGCACCCACTGCACACTTGCTTAGCCCTCACAACCCTGTGATCTATATTTAGCCCCATTTTATAGATGAGGAAGTTGAAGCACAGAGAGATTATGTAATATGCCCAGGTCACACAGCAAGAAGCACTGGAGCAAACCTAGGCAATCTGCTTCCAGAGGCCCATGCAATCTGCTCTCATATTCTGCTTCTCAGAGGAGAGGATGGTCAAAGGAGGCAGTCACCCAACACTTCAGGTCTGCAGCCCTGTGCAAGAGAAGCAAGGTGAGGAGGCCCTGGTAGGAGCTAGGCAGTCTCCTCTGACTTCTCTCATAGGAGCTGTGGGAGAGACTTCTGCTTCTCTCTTTGGCTTTTGATTGGAGTTAGCCCTAGTGAATGGCTGCAGCGACAGCCTGAACATCCCAGTTTCCTTCCATACTCAGTACAGGGCAGGTGGTCCGTGGGTCTTCATTAAACTGAAACTTGAATTTAGTTGGCCAACAATATGCAAAACTGTGAGCAAGTCACTTCCCTCTCTACAGAGCTTCTTAACTGAGCAAACATAATTAATTCCATCCACTGACCACAACGATCCCTTCCTGTTTCCTTCCCCAATCCCTAGTTTCTCAGCTGGACTATTTAATAAAGTCATACGAGGCGCGCTCAAAAATTACCCATGCCTGAGCCCCAAATCAATGAAATCAGATGTGGGGAGCACAGGTGATTTCAATTCTCTAAGCTGCCCCTGTCACTCCTGCTCAGAATCTTAGGCCAGCAGCATTTATTTCTCTCCCCGAGCAAGATGACTCAAGAGCATTTTATTGTGAATGATTTTACACATGATCATTTTTCTGCAGGCCATTGTTCCCAAGACCAACCCAAGATGATTAGATGTACAGGGCTGGACAGGCCAATCCTTAGGTCCCTGCAGGGTCTGACATCAGAATGGGGGTGTGGCACCAACTCCGGGTAAGTTTCATGGCAATAAAGCCCATTCATCTCAGCTGGACACCCCAGTCAGGTGAGAGCGGCCCCCACCTTCCCTTCCCAAGGAGCAGGAGATGGCCACCAACATCCAATAAATGAGGCAGTGCTGGGCACCAGCCTCAGGGGTAGAAGCCAGTTCAGAATTCATACATTCAACAAAATGATTTGGAATCGTGAAGTGTGAGCAGCTGGCAAACTGGAGCAAGCCCTCGCAGGGAGCTTTTAACTAATGGAAAATGAGAAATCTTCCCCAGCAAAACCAAAGGGAGATCCAAGAAGCCATGATTCCAGTTCTGGGCTCTCCGAAGTCCAGAGACAAGTTTCTGCCAACACAGACATCTGTTCGGTGAGTACAGGGATATAGCAAAATAGTATCAAGGGTCCTACATTCGGGGATCAAGAGAGCTGGGCGTGAAGGCCAACCTGGCCTCCCCATCTCCCTGGCCTCTTTTTCCCCAGTCTGTGCAATGAGTAACACCAGACCTGTGATTTCCTCAGCTCCAAGGTCCCGTGACTTTTCCCCAGGGGCAGGCCCTCTCTCCTGATCTCTGGTTCCAGAACAAACAGCAAGCTTTTCAGCCAGTTCTCACCCCTGAGCCTGAAGGGAAGGCTTTCTGTAGAGTTTGAGCTTCGTTCATTGTACTTATCCCCAGCCTGAGACCCTGAAGAGGGTTCATCTCCACCTAGCACCTCCCACCCCGCTGCATTCCAGCTCCTGCTGGCCCAGGAGGTTGCCCAATAAAGACCAGCCTCCAATTCCCAACATCTTAAAATACAAAATTCAAAAGATTTTCTAAAGTCTGTTTAAAAATAGTTAAGATACAACCTGGAAAATTACCCCAACTGTGTAGAGCTTTGAAGCATCTCATCTGGAAATAACTAGATCTACAAGAAAGTTGTGGCAACAGGTCAGAGGTCCCTGTGTTGTTCACTGGCTTTCACAACCCTCACATCTTCCCTGATCACACACTTCCCAAACCTAGATGCTACTTCTGAGATGGGCTGTTAGCCACTCGTTGACTTTATCAGATTTCACTGTGGCCCTCTTCTATTCCAGCGTCCAGCCCAGGGTAGCACAACTTTCTGCCACCTGCATTTTGACCATCACAACCATTTTTCCAGTCCCAGCATGGGTCTCAGCCCCAGCTGTTTGCTGGAATCACCTGGGGAGCCTTTGAAAGGCACCAAGTCCAGGGCCACAACACCAGTCACATCAGAGTCCCTGCTGGAGGCAGGACTAGCACCATTTTTCCCCCTAAAGCTCTGGTAATTCTGGTGCACAACCAGTCAGAGCTGAGCTACACTGATCTCAAAATGCCAGAGTATATCCATCCTGCCAAGCTCTTGATGTGGACAAGTGGCTATTTCTAAATTAACTTTTAATGACACATGAATCTTCAATACATTCCTCACATAATGCTCACTGGTGCTTTATCTCTATTTAATCAAATTAGAACATTACAGCTCAAAGTTAAGTCCTTTTTAATTAATCCCTCAATTATATTCTCTCCTCTTCTCTGGAGAAACTCACCTTTCTGTCTTTGGCCTGTACCCTTACAGCCTTTTTGCTATCATTTTTCAAAGAAGCATTAGGAAATGAGATGCTGTGGGGATCATGCTGTGGGGATCATGCCATATGTAACATTCTGTCTGCAGTGCAGTTTGCCCTTAAAAATCTTAAAAGACTTCTCTGCATTATGACATATAAGTCTAGTTCATTTATTTTATAGCTTCATAGTATTTCTGGTATGAGAATATGCTAACTTATTTATTTATGGACATTTTGAGTATTTCTAATTTTGTACTTGTAAGCTCAGGGCCATGTCCATCCTTGAGTACGTCACAGAATGTTACTTATGATATAGCATCTATATAAACACATCTCTATCTTTACAAATTACCCCCCCCCCCAATTTAGCAGTTCAAAATAAGGATGCCTTTTCTTATTTATAGCATGTGTCTCTGTAGAAAAATGAACACATTCCAGTGGAAGTACTAGACCTCAGGGTACAGAGTCTATATTTTGAGTTGTAGTTGACATTGCCTTAGTCTCATCCAAACCAGCTTTCTCAGTTGATTTTTAATTGATTCTCCCAGCAGCAGGATATGAGGGTACTCATTTAGCTACATCTTTGCCAATACTTGACTTACCAAACTTTTAATGTTTGCCCACAAAGGGGTGATGTGTTACCTCATTCTTTTAATTTGTATTCAAATGTCTCTTCTAAAAGGACTATAAGACATCAGAGTTGAGACACATCAATAATCATATAGTCAAAACCTTTAGTTTATAGAATTTTTGAATATAAAAAATTATTTTTATATTTATTATACTCCTTCATTTTCATTGATATGTGATCAATGATGTGTGATTGTGATATAGGTATGATAATATATGTTGAATGAAAACAAAAATCTCCTTTTGCCCTTTCCTCCTCCAACTTCCTTACTGAGATAAACTAATGTTCATAGTTAGTATATCATAATGAGTTATTAACTAGATGTATATATGCATATATAAATAAATAGAAAACAGAGTGAGTGGTGATGCTATTTGACATTAGAGAGATGGCTAAATGTGTTTTTCTGCAATTATTACTTTCTCTTAACAAAAAATCTGTCTTAGAAATCTTTCCCTATCAGCACACCAGACCTAGCCCACTGTTTTCACTTTTACATAATGCTCTATAGCATGGGGCATATTAGTGACCTATTACTGTGTAACCAATTACCCCTCGAAAAGTTGGCAGCTTAAAACAACAAAAGTGTATTATCTCACACCATTTCTGAGTCCATAATCCTGGAGCAGCTTGTCCCTGTGGTTGTGGATCAGGGCCTTGGGTGAGGTTGCAGCTGAGCTGTGGGCTGGAGCTGGAGTCCTCTGAAGAGGCTCCAGTCACTGGGAGGCTTGTGTAGAACTTTGACTCCTGGTGCAGCTCCCTCCCATAGCTGGTGGCAGGTGGACTCTGCTCTGTCCACATGGGCTCTCTCCAGGACTGCTCAGGACAAGGCAGCTTCCCCAGAGCAAGTGATTAGAGAGAAAGGAGGAGAAAAAAAATCCCAAGATGGAAGCCATTGTCCTGACAATGTGACCTGCCATTCCTTTTGCCATGTGCTATTGATTATTTAGATTGGCCCTGGTTTACCACCTGGGGGAATACCAGAGGTGGAGGTGGCTGGGCACCAACTTGGAGGCTGGCTACCACACAGGTCACCATGATTCATTGCTGTTATCCTGGGTGGTCTTCAGTTGTTCATGCTGTCATTCAGTGCTGCTGTGAGCATCCTTGGGCATGCTCCTTGATGCCTGGGTACTTTTCTTCTCATACAGAGAAAAATGACTCCTCCAAGGTCATGCTGCTAATCCTCTACAAGATCAGAATTACAACATCAATCATGTGACTTCCAGTTCCCTCCAATTCCAGAACCATTATGTGAGCAAGGCAAATATGGGCTGAGATTTCAACAAGTATACGAGATAAGACTGGCTGGGAATAGCCAACAGTTTCCAGAATACCAACAAACATGTAATGGCTTATCCTACTCAGTAAGTGCTAAATAAACATCACTGTGTTTGAAGGCTAGATTCAAGGCCTGATCTTCCTTGATTAAAAGGAAGCTGGAAGAAACAAGGACTCCTTCCCATGCCATGATTAGCGGAAACACGGGAGCCAGATGCACATGAGTTTGAATCCTGGCTCGAGCTCTGTGACGTGGGCAAAACACATAAAGCCTGAGATGCTCTTTCCTCATCTGCAAATTGGGTTTCTGAGGATTTCATTTGATGTATGTGGTGCATTCAGCACAGGGTCTGGCTACAGGGCTGCTGCTGTTTGATTTCTCCCCAGTTGACCTAATTCAGTTACCCTTCAAGCTTCCTGAATGAACTTCATTTTCTAAAAAACCATCTGGTGCTCACAGAGCTCACTGTATCCTATTTTCCCACATCTCAGCTTCCTGCTATTTCTACTGACCATGATTTTGAGGCCCATGTTTCCTGTTACAACTGTCCACATTCTGACCCATGAGGCAAGGTGTGGGCCTGACGTCCAGACAGTGAGAGCTCCCTTCCGGTGCCCCTCCTCCCACTGGCAGGAGTGCCAGTCACACAGCAACTGAGCCTGTAGCCACAACCTGAGTCCTCCCTCCCTCTGTGACCTAACTCGCACACAGAGCCCAGCACTTCCAAAGTACCTGAAATGAATGAAGAGAAATCAATATAAGTAAATCAAGTAAAACAGGTTGATCTCAAAGAGAGTCTGTGAGACATCAGATTAGTGCCTGGTGCTGTAATTTGAATGAGTGGCCCCCAAATACCCATGTGTTAAAGGACTGGTCCCCAGTTTGGCACTATTGGGAGGTGATGGAAACTAGAGGAGGTACGGCCCAGTGAAAGGCCCTTAGGTCTTTGGGGATGTGCCGTAGAAGGGAATTAGGACCCCAGTCTCTTCCTCTTCTTCTTTGCTTCTGGGCTCATGAGCTTTTGCGCAGCCTGTCATTGCCATTCAGTGCCCTCACTGGAGGCGCAGAACAATGGGGCCACTTGACCATGGACTAGAACCTCCCAAACCATGAGCCAAAATAATTTTGTTCTCTTTATAGATAATTGCCCTTGGAATTTTATTTACAGGGACAAAAAGCTAACGAATACACCTGGATTCTGATTTAATGTCAAGAGGAGGCCATGGTTTGAATATCGTGTTGCTCTAAAATTCCTTTGTGGAAATCTAATTCCTATTTTTGTGATACAAACAAGTGGGGTTCTTGGAAGGCAATTAGGCCACAAGGACAGATTTGTGTCCTTGTAAAAGAGGCCCACTGGAGTGTGTTCACCCTCCCAGCACATGAAGATATCACAGGAAGGTGCCATTTATGAATCAGAGGGTGGGCTCACCAGACAGTGAGTCTGCCGGCACATTGATCTTGGACTTCCAGACACTGCAACTGTGAGCAAAAAATCCCAGCCTGAGGTATCTTGTTATAGCAGCTGAGCACACTAAGATAGGCGAGATGTGGAATGACTCGGAGTGCTCAGGCAGCCAGAGAGGGAGGGGTGAAGCAGGAGGAGGAAAGGGGGCATTTGCAGTCAGTTTTCTGTGGGCTTCAGAGGCCCTTGGGCCTGCCAGGGTGGGCATCCTGTGTGGAACTGCAGAGAGAAACCCACGCCTTTTCACCAGCTGATGAGCAAGTGGGTTTTGCCAGAACCTCTGGTTTCTCTGAGCTTTAGGAAAGAATTCCTGGGACCCTTACTGCTCTTCAGAATCCAAAGGTCAAAGCAGGACAAGGACAAAGACTTGAAGGGGATGCAGCAAATGACCAAGGAAGGGGATGTCCAAGGCTCACATC